TTAGGGAACGCCCTTGGAAACGCCAAGTCACCTACCCGGACTCGCAGAGACTCGCCCCGGCACTGCGGACATTGGCCACCCAAGCAAGATCAAGCCCTGGAAAGAAGAACCAGCTAAGCCCTTCCCTTTGTTTGACATTGTATAATTTATTATACCTTGTAAACCACACATGACTGTTTTTGGTATTTTTGTTGTTGTTCCTTGTGTACATACTCCAGTGAGTTTCGCCGTATAGTTTTTCCACCCGAAATCTTTCAGACTCTTTCCCAAGTTTGCCAGCAATTGTTGCAGATCCCTTTGTTCACTTTTTTCCTCTCAGTTGAGACTCTTTTTTTTCGGAGCCGTTTCTTTTGTGTGTGCTGGTTCAAATTTGCCCGTTCTTCTTATCTCTTTTCACTGGAGCATTACGCATTGAAAGTTGACATGAATTCTGTAACCGTTTTGCTTGATATCCTTGTATATGAATCACATAAGGTGTACAAATAACAATACTTGTGCCCAGAATGAGGACCAACTGAACTCCTGCTATCTGTGTGATTTTTTTTCCTTGTGAGCAAATTTCCTACTTTTTATCGAACCGGCATAGGCCCTCAGACAATACTTGAGGTAAACCTGTGACAACTGTAAAAGTTTTATCTCTTGATAAATTAAATATGTTAACTCACCCATTAAAGTCAGTAGTTTTATTTTCAGTTGTGATTCCAGTCTTGCTATCATCATTTCGACAGCATTACGAATTTCACGGACACGTTCATCCTTCGCAGTGCGGACACTTTCAACGTTTCGTTCCTGTTTTTAAAGGATTACAATTTTTTTTAAATCTAAATATTTTCTTATTACTTTAACCCATGATAATAACAAAGTTGGGCTAAAACTCTGCTGCACAACTCCTTTTGTGCAGATCCCTTTCTTTTACATGCCCCTTAACAAAGAAAGACAGAAAGAAAGGGTGCAAGCATACATGATGTACATGCATGTAATTCAGAAAACTCAGTGAAAATGATAATTTTTTAAAGCTGTTTTTTTTCATGATTTCTTTTACTGTCTTTCTATTGTGATGATAAAAATACCTCCAGAACACCTCTAAAGCTGTTGGGGGGGGAGGTAATGGGGGGACTGACTCAGTCCACACTCCAAACAATGTCCAAAAATCCTGCATTATCTAGACCTCTTTTCTTCATGGGTTCACACCAGGAACTTGTTTGTATCAGCTTTACAGACAAACACTTACATGTAAATTTGTATCCCCGAGGGGGTATTTTCCTTTGGATATAACAGTGTGAAGTGCAGTTTTCAAATCGCTTCCAGTTGAACAAGAGTCACTTTCCTGGGTTGAATGTTGACCAAATGTGCCTTACATTTATATACCAGAATAGAAAACACTTCATAACAGCCACAAATAAGATCACCCTTGAAATTCCTCCATTTTATAAATTTCCAATATCTATTTTGTGAAATTCTATCAGGGTACTGTTAAAGTGACCTACAAGGGCACTTAATGTTTCTTGAGGGATACTTGTAATTATTCTGGTATCCAACATGTCAAAAGAAACACATGCAAACATACCCAAGCACACACAATACAAATCTAACAGTATCTTACAATTTCCTGGACGAGACTGATCAGCTCCATAAGACGTCTTCTTAATGCTGCAACCTCCTCTGTGATTTGAGAGACATGCTGATCATAAACCTCATCTAGCGGTTTGAATGTGTGACCTGTGTGTTGCTGCAAAATCAATTGAAACCATGGATTGACATACACAACTACAGAGGTTTGTCCATTCATAAAATGGGAACAAAAGCCTTCTTGCTAATTTTTCATTTTTCAAATGTTCCCATATGCTCATAACAGTCTGAGGAAATTTGTAGTTCTATAGATACTGAAGAGAGCACCTTTAAGGTTGTGTCTTGTGATTATGTCATTATGATGTAAATACATACATTTACACATAGCATGCCTTTGCCAGAACATACAGCGACCACTCAATATCCTACCATACCTACATATTTCTGTACAAACATTGTATTCCCAACCAAAATGTTGCCTTGAAAACGAGTACAAAACATATGGGGAAAAATTAAATATTCAAAATTCTGTAATAAATCAGGTGATGACGTCATGATTCCGCATATATCTTCTTCTGTTAGTCTATGTTCCAAAGTTGAAGTGAATTGGCCCAGAGCAAAGACTAAAAGTACTCTGTAGAATGGGGAAAAAAGTGAAAAAGAAGAAAAAAATATGAGAAATTTGTGCCTGATTGAGAACAGAGCACAAGGCTTTTCCACAGGTTGAATGTTTCTTATGAAAACGAGAGCAGGGCTTCAAAGTAATGGACGTTTAATGTCACATTATGTTCGTCCAGCTATCTGGAAAGTTCATTTGCACATGGACATCGAGAGGCTTTAAAAATTGCACCTCTAATGTTACATTACTTGCTACTTGAAGAGGTCATCATCACATGAGCAGGCTTCAATCTTTACAGCAGCTACAAGTGGCCACTGCTGCTATGCCCTAGTAAATTGCCATGATGCCCTTTAAAAATAGCATGTACTTTTCGCCCACTAAGCCAATGTGCCCCTTTTCAATGATCAGTAGGCCTAAATAACTTTCAAGTTACTGTTTAGCACTAGCATTTGTGTCAACGGCCAGCCAGCTGCACCGAGCACTATTTTTTCCATGGACTGGTTTTGCATCGCCCCAATAGACAACATGGTATGGCAACCATATTAACGTAGTTGACTTGTGTGACTCTAGAAACGTGGCACCAGACTTCTTTTATATGGCATAGACTAGTTACAAGTTGCAGCACAGAATTACACATTCTGCACTAATCGGATTCTCTACACTGCGAATTGAGACCATGTCACTATTATCTTGGGATCACAGATGGGTGTACAACCCAGTCTATTTTTTTCTCGCTATTTTACTGGTATTCACACAGGCACTGGCATGAAAGTGGGCTTCTATTGGATAAATGTATGTGAACCAGTGACCAACTTGTCACTCTATGGTGCCATAATAACATAAGGTCAATTTTCATCTAAAATCCTTACATTTTTAGTGATCTGCATATTTTCAACCTGATGGGAGATGTACTTCAGGAGATATGGGGCTTTTAAGAGTGCACATTTAATATCACGTGACTTGGCACCTGATGACGTCATCATCACATGAGGTCCATTTTCATCTATATCCTTTCCCTTTCTAGTTATCTTCAAATTTTCAAAGCGATAGGACATGCACTTAAGGAGACATAGGACTTTTAACCCCTTCCCTATGGAGGACTGCTAGTACCGCACCTTTGTGTGAGGATTAGTGCACACCACACGTACAGTCTGTTCACCATGCAGCTGCTGGTTCAATGGGGCCCGCTGCTGGACAAAGCCCTCCATTTAGGGCATACCACAGCCCAGCAGTCGCAGTCAAAATAATGCCGCTGTGAAGGGGTTAAGAGTGCACTTTTAAGGTCATGTGACTTGGCACCTGATGACTTCATCACATGAGGACAATTCTCCACTAAATCCCTTCCCTTTCAAGTTATCTTCGAAGTTTCAACCCAATGGGGCATGTATTTCAGGAGATATAGGGCTTGAAAGAGTGCACCTTTAAGGTCACGTGACTTTGCACCTGATGACTTCATCATCACATGTGGTCCGTTTTTGTCTTTAGTACATCCCTTTCGAAATGATTGCTAAGTTTTAACCCATTAGGACGTGTACTTCATGGGATATAGACTTTGAAATTTGCACCTTAAATGCTAAGTCCCGTGACATGTGGTGATGTCATGATGACGATTTTTTCTTGGACCCCGTCTACTCTAAGGATTGAGTGTTGACCTAATGTATTGAGTCACATTGAAAAAGGGCCCAGGTCTTGCTGTTGAAAAACATGTACAAAAATATGGGAAATATTACATATTTTAAATTCCACAATAAATCAGGTTATGACGTCATTTTGACGTCAAGCTTGGAAATGACCCTTACTATAAATTACTTAAGTGTATAAAGTTTCCAAGGCATATGACCTTGTTTAAAGCCCACAGAGGTGAAGAGAAAAAGTGGGGGAAGACCAGGAAGAAGAAGAAAAAAGAAAAAAAATAAGTAGAGAAACAAAGCCTTTTCCGCAGCGTGCGGAAAAGCCAAAACACAATGAAAAGAAAAAAAAGTGTAACAAAAAACATAAAGCTATTTCAGCCAGTGACTGAAGCTACGGAGCCCCTAAAGGGACTTCCGACGAAAACAAACTCTGTAACAGAATAAAATTTCACAAATTTTTTCGTATGAACGAAATCATTTCGTTCGCACAAAATCATTTCATACGCACGAAATAAATTATTTCATGTGTACGAAATCATTTCGTTCGCACGAAATCATTTTGTGTACTCGAAATAATTTATTTCGTTCGCTCGAAATCATTTCGTTCACACGCAATCATTTCGTATACTCGAAATAATTTATTTCGTTTGCACGAAATCATTTCATTCGCACGCAATAATTTAGTTCGCACGCAATAAATCCACCCACACGTGCAAGCAATTGAAGTGAGGCAGAACACATCTGTATATAAGGTAAGACTCCTTTTTAACGTCTGGTTTTACGCATAATGATCTCGTTAGGTTTTTAAGTGGAAGTTAGAGCCCCTACGTACCACACAGATGAACGCTTTGGGCAGAATAGAGCTGCGCCGAGCAAGAAAACCCTGAAGGATACCCTGAATAAAAATATGTCATGTAGCCAAATAAGAAAGTGGGTTGTCCAAACATCAGAATCTCAAAGCCGATCAACTTCCTGCCTGTTTTTCTCTAAGCGTGATGGGTGTGGATGATCAACGATATAAGCCATTCTTTCTTACATTTAAAGATCACACTAGGAGTGGTAGACTAATATTAATTATGACATTGTTAGCTGCTCTAATTTCAAAGTAGTTGCAAAGTGGTACATAGAGGGTTTCCCAACATATTTCTTTAATTCTACTGAAATTATTTTCCAACAACTCGTGACGTTCAATGAAAACACAACTGAGATCATCTTCCAAGACAAATATCTGCACAGGAATTAAATGTCACGGATGTCAGGAAGTGCACTTCTATATAAGGCCTACTACAGGTATTGTATAAACATGACCAACTAATTGACTGTATTCTCAAATGAAAGTCACACGGGCCTGACTCAACGAAAAGGCCAATTTGAATTAAATTGGTGTTGAAAACGAATAAAATTGAAAAACGGAAAGAAAAACGTCTTTAGCAACGATGCTTTTGACTGATTAATTCCGTCATAAAAAGACGTTAACCTTTGGTGTGACATTTTCACCTTTGTAGAACACCGCCTTCCTGGGTACCGCGTACTCTTCGTGTTTTGTCTACACACGTGCTACTGTAGTATAGAATCAACTCCTCATGTCACCACAACCCAAATCATATAGCTGG